CTATAATTCAATTTTCTAATGCCAGTCAAATTTGCCATGGAGATATACATGCAAAATGTCACCTCCGCGGCATGTCTCGATCGCAAAATCGATTCTATTTGCGTATGCCATGAATTTTTATACGCACCTACCGCAATTCTAACTATCGGACCTTGTTCTATACACCCCAAGTATAGTTTAAGTATACCGCAGGTCCCTGAAAACCGTTTTAAAAAAATTCAAGCACGTTTGAAAAATGTCTCGAATTTTTATGATTTTTCGCAATTATTCAAACATGCTGCATGATTTCGATCGTTAACTCATTTTTGACGTCGAAAACTATTGGACTCTCAAGTTTAATGATCAAACATTCGATTTTTGTCGTCGCATATTTAAAAATCTCATTTCTGCTGTGCATCGAAGTACGTTCTATTAGTTAATTCGGATGTTTAAAAAAACCGTCACTTCCGTGGGCATAAAATTCTAGAGTTGGTATCACTGTATAAGAATGTGGTATAGACCAGACAAAAGACCATACAAAGACCATACAAAGACCAGACAAAAAAACTTTTACCATTAAAATAAGAGATCTCATAGCAAAATTCAAGTCAGAAATTCCATCATTCATTGAGCATGAGATGAAAATATTTCATCAATACACCGTACTAAAATCCATTCGAGAGAGTATAAAACCTGATGAAATATTAGTGATAATTGACTTCAGTGAAAACTACAACTGCAAATATAGCTCTGAAATACAAGCTGTTCACTTTGGAGCAGGTAGAGAGCAAGTGAGTCTCCATACAGGCTATATTTACTCTGAAACTATCTGTCAAGGATTTGCTTCAATTTCTGATTGTCTTCGATATGATGCTGCAACTGTCCTGGCTCATTTTATCAATTCTTGTTATATGCTGCGCTGTTATAACAGCAGCGCACTCTTTTTGTTTATTTATATAATATGCAAACAAACCGCTAGGTGGCGGACTTGCAAAAAGCTTGTAACCCACAAATGAACGTGGCCGAAAATGCTTATTATTCGAATCGATAACTCCTGAAATTCCTAGTGATTTACTTTGGGAAAATATTGAACATGAAATTCCTATTCATGTAATAATGGCTAAGGCTCGTCATGATAAGTCAGAGAAACATATTCCCATTGATGTTTCAAGCAGTGATTTCATGTCAGAGGAAGAGTCTTCGACAAGTATGGAAATAACATCTGACCGTCGGTATCTGTAGATCTAATACCTAATATTTACTTTAGTTTTAAGTTTATAAACAAGTTTGGGTGGTCAGAACCACATCACCACTAAACAAAAAAATTTCCGAATTTTTGTACCCCGAAAAAGCAGACTTGGTGAGAATCAACCATATATACAAATTGTATAAATTTTTATACGACAAGTTATATACATATTGTAGATAATTTTTATATTTTTTTTGTATTTGAACAATTTGAAACAGTTCTTGTACTTAAGCGATTACTTTAACTTTGCCACTTGCAGATATTGACGGATGAAGGTGCCTCGCCATCTGGCGGTGGATGCTGTCGCTGTAATTGTGATTGAATTTTCGTAGAATTCATTAGGCGCTATCGATCAAAATTTTGAGATTTGGGGATAGAATTTAACGTAATGCTTGTTCTATTTTTTTTTCTGTTGCATTAAAAATAATTCACACGATGATTGTATTTTTTATGCATTTTTTGCGCAATTTACGTAAAAAAATTAATCAGTACTGATAGATTGATTTTAGAAAACAATTTTATACCAAAGTACCGATAATAAAAATCTTCTTTAAAGTCTGAATCTGCATTAAACTTTGGGTTCTTTCAATCAACAGTGATAATTGTACATATATGCGTAATGCAGCTACATAATACATGGTCCTCGTTACCTATGAATTTCAGCAAAATTCGCGATTTTTTTTTCGCTTCCTTTCTTCCTTTCTTCCTTCTTTTTTCTCTGTCTTTCGGCAGCTCGGATCTTTAAGCTTCTCGAGCACGGGATACAATAATAACAATAATCTCGCTCGCCCAGCGTGACATCGTGCTGCAGCAGCGACAAATTTACGCGCAAGCACACACACACACACGCACTCTGAGCTCCGCACTGGTCCCAGGTGTTAATAATCCGTCTTTAATTGTGTCCGCGCGCGGCCGAGTGAGAGCCGAGTGGGATAATTCCCACTTAAATTGCCCAACTGTGTGACGTGTATAATATAATATGTCGCACCTCGGATCCTGTATATATATGCTATTATATAATCGTAGCAGTTCGGTCGGATGTGTAATTCCCTTTGTGGACAGCGCGATGATCGCGCGGCGTAATAATCAGCAGCTACATGCAGTACACAATATCTTCCTTTTTTTCCTTCTCTTTTTATAGAAAAAAAATTCGTGTTCGAGTCGTTCGAGTGCACCGCGCTCACACACACACACACACACACACACCCACCCTGAGAAGATTTCCTTCTTACGCGTATAAAGAATCTTACAACGCCACGAATTTCGTCTTTTATAATACATACTAACGTTATATCGTACGAACGAGGTGCTGCTGCTGCTGCCGGGAGTGATCAGCCAAGTGCATCTCGCGCTCGTCAACGACCTGCTCTCTCCTTTATATACATAGGCATACATGCCACACGATCGGCTAATGGATGAAAAGCTGATGTAGCTGCAGATCTCGCTCATCGATATCACCTCTAGCCAAGAGAGAGATATCTACCCCTGGCGATCGGTCCGAGCGACACGTTCACCCCCTCGTCTCGTATATATTATATATATATATATCGAAGTGCACACCTCTTCAGACACTCTTTTTCAATTTCGTTTTTTTTTTTTACTCTATCTCCGGAAAGTAATATTTAAGAGCCGATAATGACTCGGGACACACGGTAACGGCCTCTCCTGTGCTATGTGTGTGCGAGTGTGCTTTTTCAAAACCTGCTGACAATGTGTCGTCCGACGTGTGCGCGCGACAGATCGCTTCTTTGAGATAGGACGCGTGATATGTACCAGTGGCAGTGCAGACACCCACTATAATACGGAGCTTTTTCAAGCTGAATATATACGATATGTGTGTATGGAGGATGGCGTCGATGAAAAAATAAATAAATCCAGTGTAATTTTTTTTTATATCATTTTTTTTTAATGTGCTTATGAGTTTTTTTTTCGTTCGTTTTTTTTTATTGCATGGATTGACTTGTTATATTTACACAGCGGGAACACATACATAGAGGTAAATCGTCTATCGGATTTGATTCTTGCTTTATTTTTATTTTTTCTACAACTCTTTACTCGCTTCCGTCTCTTTCTTTTATCTACAATATTTTTCTCGTTTATTTTTTCATTCACGCATACGCTCGCTTACACACCTGCTCATGGGATCGTTCTATTATATTGATATACTTTTTTTTTGTTTCGTTTTCTCGTTTTCTTTTCTTGTTTTATCGATTCTTGAACACCGTTTGCATTTGAATTTTCGTTCGACAGTGCGTTCGCTTCGTTTTTCGCTCACTTTCTATACACTTTCTTACTTTAATGTAATCGTTATAACCGTAATACAATTCACAATCTTATTGAGAGAGATGGATCTTGATAAGGGCATGGTTTTCCATTTTTTTTTGTCTGACCCCGATAAAAATGCTCAACGCTCGATTTATTAAAAATATACCATAATTGAAAAATTGTGTTCTGATTTATACAATTTGTTTTACTCTGCCACTTTCACATTTACAGCTGTAAAGGTACTCGCCATCTAGCGGTGGATCCTATAAGTGGTATTATAGTATTTAATGCGATTAAATACTATAATCGATTTATTAAATTTATAATCGAAATTTATAATAGAATCGATTTAAACATTTAAAATCGATTCATCAAAAATATACCAATATTGCAAAATTGTGTTCTGATTTATACAATTTGTTTTACTCTGCCACTTTCACATTTACAGCTGTAAAGGTACTCGCCATCTAGCGGTGGATCCTATAAGTGATATTATAGTATTCAATGCGATTAGAAATCGGTCGTAATTTTTTGAAACAATTAAATTGTTATTATATCGGATTATTTAAAATGCGCTTAATATTTCGTAACATAATTGTAAAAGAAATGTTGAGCATTTCTATCAGGGAAAGTCGCGCTTGATTAAATATTTAATAATTAAAAAAGTTAAAAGGAAAGGGAGTGAATAATAAACAAAGTATACGAAATTCATTCGTTCTAATAGAAAGGTAAGATCGGGTAAAAAAAAAAGTACATAGACGTGCTTTCAGCTTACGAAACTATTATCACACCGATACATACGGATTATTATTAATATCATCGTATACAATTGGAAAGAGAGAAGAGAGCTCCGTAAAAAAGGAACGAGAACACAATATGCGAACGAGGGACGAATAAAAGAAAATGGATAATCTTATTATCTTATTTCGTACAGAGATGAGAAATGGTTGTTTTGTTTTTATTTTAATTTTATTTATTTTATATATACTGCATATATCGATTTCCGTCGGCCTACGATCGTAGTACACTTATCCTTTAATATTTACACGTTTTTTTTTTATTTACATTCGGTGAATCGTCACGCGCGTATACGCGTGCGTATGCACATACGGAGAGATCACGATCGTGTGCGTTACAACATATCCTTCGTGCGTCGTTGCCAATGCCCAATAATGATATAAACAATAAATAATGAATTGTCACTGACTCACTCGGCGTTGAACAATTTTTCTTTTTTTTTTTTTTATTACTCGGGCATTTCGTATAATATATGTATAATGGGGTTCCGTATAACGACGACGACTAGAAAATATCATATATATATTTATTTTATATACGTCCATGAGGTATTCTTATACTCGCTCACTCACGCGCTTACGCACTATATTATTTTATTTTCTTTATATAATTATCACAAATGTCACGAGGAAAAACTCTCGACTTTGCTCACTTGGACGATTGCAACGATCCCAAATCAGCCGCTGCTGCTGGCCGAATCCTGGCGTTATTATAAACCTGCTGCTGCTGCAGACCTACCGTGGCGGCGCCGTCGCGTCACAACATCTTGCTCAAGTAGCTGCTGGCCGCTGCCGTCGCCGGCGGCGGTAGCAGAAACGGACTGACGAAGGCGTGGCCCTGATGATGATGAATAGCCGCGCCGCCACCGGGTGGCGATGCGTACGCCCCCGCAAGGTGATGATGATGATGATGATGATGAGGCGGCGGTGGTAAATGATGATGCAGGCCGCCACCCGAGGCAGGATTGCCACCCGAAGCAGCAGCTGCGGCGGCGGCTGCGGCTGCAGCGGCAGCAGCCACGGGGCCCAGCATCGGCACCGGCGAGCCCGCGTCGTGCAGCTTCCTCATGTGCTTCTTCAGGTCGAAGTTGCGGCAGAAGCCCTTGCCGCATATCTTGCAGCTGAAGGGCTTCTTGTCGTTGTGCGTGTGCATGTGGAAGGTGAGATTGTAGATCTGGTGGAAGGCCTTGTTGCAGATGTTGCACTTGTAGGCCTTCTCGCCCGAGTGCGTGAGCTTGTGATTCTTGTAGTTGCCCTTCTGGTGGAAGCCCTTGCCGCAGAACTCGCAGACGAACGGCTTGACGTTGGTGTGGATGCGCGTGTGCGTGTTGAGGGTCGAGCTGCGATTGAAGGCCTTGCCGCAGGTCATGCACTTGTGCGGCTTTTCCGCCGTGTGGATGATCTTGTGACGGCAGAGGGTCGAGGCCTGCCTGAAGCCCTTGCCGCAGATCTTGCACTTGAAGGGCCGGGCGCCCGTGTGCACGGGCATGTGGCGCGTCAGGTTGTAGTGGGCGTTGAACACCTTGCCGCACTCGCTGCAGGTGAACGTCTTCTGCTTGCCGCCGGTGCCGTTGACGGTGGATCCGGTGTTGGCTGCAGTTGAAGACGAGGACGAGGGTAGCGGTGGCGAGCTCGACGGCGAGTTGAGCATCCGACTCTTGGCGTCCATGAGCAGGATCTCCTCCGAGGACGAGCTCGACGACATCGAGGACGTCCTCGAGGTGTCCTGCTGCAGCTGGGGCGGCGAGGCGCTCGACAGCCTCGAGTTGGCCAGCAGCCGCAGCGGCGACGACGACGACGACGTCGGAGTTTTCTGCGGACTCGTCGGTGGCTGATGGGGTGGCTGCTGGTGCTGCTGGTGCTGTTGGTGATGATGTCTCGTGGTGGCCGCGGCGTCCGCCGCGGGGAACGACCTGAGCAGCGGACCCGCCGCGTGATAGTGCAGCAGCGGATAGTACTGCAGCAGGCTCTGATGATGGCGAAAGGTGGGCACGTACTTTTTGAAGGCCGACTCGAGGTGAGCCGAGTAGCTGCTCAGACTCGCCTGCTGCTGCTGCTGTCTTTGTTGAACCGAGGCTGGAGCTGGTGGCGGAGATTTGCTCGACGACGAGGACGACGACTCCAGCTGCTGCTGCGAAGGAGGAGGAGGAGGTTGACGCTTGTGATCCGGCTCCATGATCTTGGCGATGGAGAAGGTGAGATTGCGCGACTGCTGGGTGTTGGTGGTGGTGGGCGGCTGCGGCGGCGACGCCGAGGTGCGCTCCGGCGGCAGGCTCGTGGGCGTCTCCTGCGCCATCGTCTGGCTCGAGGAAAACGGTTGCATCGCGTCGATCTGCGAAAACGAAGCAATACACAAAAAAAGCACAAATTAGTCAAAGATTAATCGATAATTCTTTTTCATTATGGTTCTATGTATATTTTATTATTAATGAAATATGATGCGACCTAATCTGCGCATTAAAAGTATACGCGATAGTATATAGTTTTATGTTTGGAAGCATCGCCGCAGTTCCGACTTTACCGTCAGATGTCGTGATCGATTCCAAACATGAAAAAATGAAGTTCAGTAGTTTAATTATAAATAGATATTGTTATGTTACAACTGGAAATTGTTAGGTTCAATCTTCAAAACAAACCGGGTACATGATAAAATGCCCCGCTTAATAAATATCGTACACAGCCCCGAGCCCTCGGAGTTTATGCACGTGGATACACGAGTTGAGTATATAATACGATGTGTATGGGACCCTCCTCTCTCTCTATCTCGCATGATTTGCATGCGGGGGGTGTACGCTTATAATGGGGATGAACACGGACGGATGTGTACAGCAGTCAATCGAGCCGCACACACACACATACACACTCGAGTGAGAGAGAGACGCGTTTCCAAGCTGTTAAGCACATTTTTCGCCTTATCTATACGAATGCTTAGTACTACTACTACGACTTTATGATGGCGGGTTCATTGATTATATTGTCAGCCTTTGGGAAAATTAATCGCGTCAGAGAGTGAGCACGAGACACGTCGAGAGCCCGCACACACGCACACGAGGAAAAAAAACGGCATGAGGTACGAAGCAACCGGCATTTATATAATACATACATACATATACGCGCGTTACATATTGCTCGATTGGCTCTCTGCACGAGCTGTCGGAGAAAGCAATTTGGCGGAAGGAAAAAAAAGCCGAGATGGGACGAGGAGCTTTTTCGGAGTAAGCTCGAGAGACGATCGACGCATGTCTCGGGTGGTGGTGGCGGAGACGGCCTGCAGTGCGGTACGAGGGGCAGCAGCAGCACTTCAACGTGCAAAAAAGGCCCATCCGCGCGGCGGCGAATCATTTCCAGCTTGATGAGTTCTCTCTCTGTTTTGTGTACTGTAGTGTATAAAGTTTATGACAATGAAACTTGTCGCAGCTGATAAATTTCGCCAATACTGATGTAATGTAAAATTAGACATTCACAGTGAAATATAACTATATCGGAATATATAACTGCTTGAGATGGTAAGCATGCTAACGAATTGATTATTTCAATGAGTTTGACCGAATCTAAGAATTGTCCCTAATAATTGTGTTCTTTTTATTTTTATTGACCATGTGAAGTGTAAGAAATACATTTATGAAATATTGACCTTTTTCTTAATTAATAGCACAAAAAATATATGGAAATTCAATCAAAAGTTAATGCCAGTGTCCACCACTAGATGGCGAGCAGCTGTCACGTGTAAATCTGCAAGTGTTAAAGTTAAAACGTTGTATAAGTCACAGACATGGGCCTGCTTCGAAATGAGATCCGAGATTTATGTTAAGCATTTCGATACATCACAATTGACAACGGAACAAAGTCCGCTTTTAATTTGTACCCTCAGACAGACGAGTATTAACGTGTGGCTTAAGACTCTAACGTATAATTTTAATAGATTTTTAGTAATCAACAAACAGTTCATAAATAATTTAAGATTATTTATGAATAATCGTCTCTCGATGAACAGAATAAATTATTTTATTTATGTATCATAATGCTCTACGCGTCTACGCGCGCGATGCAGTCGACGTTGCTCATAGCTCGGCTCGGGCTGCGACTGCACATACACACGCAGAGACGCGTACATATGTAATGTGTAATATACGGCAGTCGTCGTCGTCGTCGTTCACTGCTTAATATTTGTTATATGTGTGTGTGTATATGCAGGTTGCAGCAGCTCCATTCAAGCCAAATGAACCGTCGTCTCTCTGAATGAGATGCAAAATGGTCAGCAGCAGCAGCAGCAGCGGTATAAACCCACTAGCGTGTAATATGCGGGAGAAAAGGCCTCGACGACTGCCTGCCGTATATATAATATAAAAGCTCCGAGCTCGTATACCCTCAAGGGCTTATTTATGCAACTGACTGACTCCAACTCTGTGTATGTGTGTGTGTGTGTGTATGTGCCATGACGTTTGCACTTCTCTCCTCTCTCTCTTACTCCGTCTTGAACGTCGTCGACTCGAGGAAATGTTTCCCTCTCGCTATATATGCTCTATGTGTACGTGTATGTACGTCTGCGTGTGTCAAGACCGACGGATGGAGAAAAGGCTGCTGCTGCTACTGCCGCCGCAGTGTATGGAGTCTCGCAAAATAAATAGACTATAATATAGAGAAGCTGTGCCTCGAGGAGTTTCTCTCTCTCTCTCTACCTCTTTCGAGAATTGAGAGAGAGAATCGCGCGACCTTAAGTGGCCCCTATACAACTCGGCGTATACGTATATAGAAGATCAAAAATTCAAGCTTTTTGCCTTTTTGATATTGGAATCATTTTGGTCGAAGCTGTACGCGAAAAAAAAACCTCCATACATACCGTTCAATTAATCGAGGATAAATAAAAATTTCACGTAGATCCGCGATACGCGCATAGCTCGAGAGACGTTACAGCGCGTAAATATATATAGTTAACCCGGCGGCGGCGGCGTGCAGCTGTGTGTTTTATACAGTATACGCAGGGACGTTCAAGTGGCATATGTTCCCGCGCGTAATTTAATCTTTTTTTCCTGCCCTCCCCATCTCGCTGCAGCAGTAACAGCAGCAGTGAGAAGATCGTAGAGAGATTCCCGAGTGCACACGCGGGGCATTGTTATGTAGCGCGTCGTCGATTTAAACTCTGTTATCCGCGAGGGCAGGCAAAAATGCCCACTCCAGTGATTGCGGCAGTTTAACTTTTTGCGTGTATATAATTGTGTTGGTATGGTATGAACTGTATCAGAGGAGACATTTCTTATAATCAATGATTATGTTTCCGTTGAAAATAGTTACGTTAAAATAAACGTAAGAGATAAAATAGTATATTATGATACGTGTGACTTAAGCAGGCCATTATTGCACGGCACGGTTAGCACCCGAGCGAAGCGAGTGCGATAGGCACGCCGCGGTGCAATAATGAGCAGCTTAAGTCACGGCAAAGCATGCTTTAAACGTGAACTTCAGCCACGCAGTGCTATAAAATTGTAAGAGTGATTTATGTTGTAAATTTAATCCTCGACCTCGATTTATACACTTATTTTGATTTTGCCACTTGCAGGTTTGCGAGTAAAAGGCAACTCGCCATCTAGCGGTGAAAGCTGCCTTCAATCATGTTCGAAGTTTGATACAGTTTTTGAGCAATCAAGGTTAAAAACGAATCGGTATTGAAACATCAATTTTTTACAATTTGAGTATAGAACATTTATGCAGTTTTAACTTAAAATAGTTTGATTTTAACACCTGATTTGACATCGAATCATCATTAAGTTTATGAATTTTTTTCTACGGCGCTGGATCTCGTGCTATACGCGTCGTCGAATCGACAAAAGGCAAAAGGAGAAGAAAAGTAAAAAAAAAATATCATAGACCGCGGCCCAAACTACATAAGTATATCGGCCTCGAATTAAGCACAGTACCGCACGAAGCGCATCTTACACACAACACAGCAGCAGCAGCAGCATAAATCGCGTAATCCTCGAGCTTTACGCTCGTACACACACATAGGTCTAGAGAAAACTTGCAACAATGCTCAAAGAAGATCCTTTTCACGTACGATAAATACGGCGCGCATTATTACGTGTATAATAATTGCATACAATGCGCTTACACGTAATAATGCGCCTTAATACTTTCATTTTTGAACATCGGATTATCATTTACGGAATGTGTGTGTGTGTGCGTGTGCGCGAGAGGCATTCTCCCGTTCTCTCTCTCTCTCTCTCTCTCTCTCTCTCTCTTGCCTATTTATGAAGAGACATTGACAGCTCCAGTAGGCAGCAGAAGCTCGCGCGATGATCGGAGACAGACAGACAGAGAGAGAGAGGCGGTTTCACAACGCCCCGCCCTGCAAAGCGCGATATATATATATAAAATACAAGGCAGGCAGGCGCGCGCACATACACAACACGACTCCGATATTGTCTGTCCTGAGGGAAACGGCACCAGAGAGAAGAAGAGAAGAAGAGAGAGAGAGAGAGAGAGACAACAACGATGGCCATTGGGGAATTCGGAACGACGAGTGAAAGTCGTCGTATATAGCCGCGAGGGGATATATATAATAACGCGCGCATCGATTCACTCGATATATCGCGTACAATACACGCTGTAATATGAAAGTGACGTATGTTTGGATATAATACGCCTCTCTCTCTCTCGATGTACCCGAAGAGAGATGGATGGATGGGTGGGTGGATGTGTGTATAGGGTAATTATTGTTGATCGCGGAAGCCATCGCGCGCGCTAGAGATAATGATTTCGTGTCATATATAGACTTGGAGGCGTCGATGACATAATTGACCGAGCGATAAACATTCACAATTTTTTCAAAAGATATATCGAAATTGATTGGCTTGTATTTTGGCGATTTTTCTGTGTCATTTATGTTACGGATACTGCGAGCGCATTTTAAATAACCCGAATCTGGTGTTTGAATTATTTCAAAAAATTGAGGCTACTTTGAATACGATAAATAATTTGAGTATCCAACGCTAGATGGCGATTATCTTTATCCCTTAATATGCAAGAGGCAAAGTATACCCAATTGTATAAGTCGTGTATGAATGATTGGTTTTTACATAGCCTGACACCCTATACAGAAAGGCAAAAATTGATACAACAACTTTTATAATACACAGTAAGCATTCCAATATGATTGAGTGTCTAAACGTCTTCGATTAAATTATTCTTTAAAAAAAGAATACTCCGATAACGAGACTTCGTCGTAAATAAAACGTACGTAATACAGTAAAAAAAAACCAAACCCACCATGGTCCACCTCATCTGTCCAGCTTTGACAAAGTCCGCAGGTGAGTCACACACAAACACGCACATATGAGACGATTGATAAGGACACACGGAGACACCACTGAACGTACCGAATTATATCTATCGATCTATATCATAGACAACGACAACAGTTCTTGCGTACAACCACCAAGTATATGTGTCAAAAACCGCGCACAGGATCCTACACTAGGATCCTTATTTATATATTACGCGTGCGTAGGTGTACTGCTGCTGCTGCTGCTGCTGCTGCTGCTGCTGCGCACAGGAGAGACGCGCGCGCGTGTGTTGCACTTGCCGCACTCTCGGGCCCTGCGCACGGCAAGCGCAAAAAGACCAACAACTCGCTCTCTGCACACCGGGGCAAAAAAGCCAGCAGCGGCGGCGGCGGCGGCGGTGACGGCGGCTAAAACAGCGGCCGAGCAGCAGTGGTCGCGCCCGAGCTCCGAGAGAGAGAGAGAGAGGTAGGAGGATATGGCATTTATAAGCTGGGTTGGTATATAGTAGAAGGCAAGAAAAAAAGAGCCGCGCAGCAGTAGCGGCGGTGGCAGCGATCGGGGATCGATCCCCCCGGAGAGTGGGGATGTACGTATAGTAGGAACTGCTGCAGGAGCTGAGGAGGATCGACCGCATCGGGACGACGACGATGACGTTGGTGGTGGTGGGGATATCGTATGTACGAATGGTGGTAGACACTCGACGACGGCCCGATTGGTGTGTTTCGGGTGTGCGGAGATTTCACCGCCGATGGGTGGCGACTACGTACCATATAAGTGGGGGGAAGGGCGCCCAGAATTCCCCCGAGCGAGCGAGCGAGCGAGGGGTAACGACGACGATACATCCACTACTATGTACTCGTTGTCGCTTATTATGTGTGTGTGTAGGTACCCGCACACAACACACACACATACAGACTGACACTCTATATATATGTGTGCACTCAGCGTCGACGAGGCCCCTGTTAACAGCGTCAATTCCGTCGATTTATTTCAATCTCCGCTGCTGCGCGACGTCGACGTCTCGATCATATCGCGCCCGAGCCGATCGCGCCTGCACCAGCACGTATACGAGTACTCGGTCCGATGACTGACGTATAACACATACACAGGCATACGTACATCGTGTATTACAATACCCGTATATGTATGCATGTGCGACGCGATATGTACACGACATAATAATGGGTGATCGTCGTCTCGTATCGAAAGTTGGTTTAAGTTTTTTTTTAAAGCATAATCGTACGTATGAGGATACGGTGTGCGAACTGTTACACATATCGACTTGAATATAGTTAGAAAAGTCAATAGTTTTATAAAATATTTATTTAGAACAGCCAGAAGAGAGCAAGGATTTGTTCTTTAGTTTAATATAATGCCTGCTAAGAAAGTGGCTTAAGCTAGTCGATTCATATAAATGAATTTTTTTTCTCCCATATCAAAAGTTAGTGTCAATTTTTTTTATATGATATGTGATATTAGTAATAGTTGAATATCAATGAACCTTCAATATGAAGTTCGTTAAGTTAAATAAGCAAGGCTTGTTCTTTAGTTTCGTATAATGCCTGAAGAAAGTGGCTGTACTAATTATGTATACACGTTCAACGGACGCTGTAATTTTTTCTAAAACCGTGCTCAGACTTATTACTTCGAGTATACGCCGCTAGATGGCAAGTGTGCCTTTTTCTGTAAATCTGCAAGTGGCAAAGTGAAAATTATTGTATAAGTCTTATCGATATTGAAGTGGTTGTAAATCGAATTGAATTTTTAGAAACAATTGAATTGCCAATTTCAGGTCTGGATTATATTTTTAGCGATGTACTACATCGACTTCAAATTGTTAAAAAAACTTGATATATATCATTTTTTTACGTAAAATCTAACGTACTTTCTGAATCCGGTGTTAGAAATTTCGAGAAAAAAAACTCGATCAATCAAATTTGAACACGGAAAAAAGGTTCCCTTGGGACGTCTAATGCAAATAGATTTCTTCAATTACATGTATACTTTATCGTAAAATAGTTATAATTACGAAATTCAACATGGCGATCATAAATATGACTTCGTATAATACCTGAAAGCCATGAAATGATTTCGACGATTTTCAACTCAATAACTATCAATACTTTTTGTTGTGTAACTTTATTAGTCTAAACACTTTTTTTAAATAACTTTTTTTTCGTAAAGTTGATAATTATTGAATTAAATACAACGCTAAAAAAGTTTGGTCAATTCAGACGATTTATTTCTAACGAAATTACGTTCATGCTTATACTTTAAAATCCTTCAAACTATCATTCTTCGATCGTCAGGCTACAATTATTAACGTTGATCATTTCTACAAGGTATAATAGATCATAAAAAATATAATCAATCGGCAAATTTACTCAAAAGACGAGAAGGCGCGATCTTCTTCCAACGAATAAATAGTATCGGGTGTAAGAAACTTGAAATGGCTCCTCGGGCTGGCTGGCTGGCACGCGGAAAAAGGGTAAATTTGTCCAGGCGACGATGTGCCGCATTGAATCGTCGCCGTTAATTACTGCCACCTACCCACACCCCCCCAATCCTCCATCGCAAAGCTTTTAAGTGTTCTTTTACCTTTTTCTCTCTCTCTCTCTATTTCTCCTCGAGCCTTTAAAATCCTTTTGTCTTATATAAATAATCTTTTATACACTCATCAAGTCTGAAGGTACGACTTTCTCCTGTATACACAGACGAGCGAAGCCGAGCTTTTCATCATTTTTCGCCGCCGTACAGCGATGATTTTCTAGCGCGCGACGCTCGGGACTGTACACGTATATATACGTATATATATCGGCAGCTTGGCTTCTAGTGCACATTATATTATATAGCCAAAGGAAAGAGCCCCGAGAACAAAAGGGAAACGGGCGTGAAGTGCTGCTGCTGCTGCTAGCTCGAAACGTATATATAGCACGGTCTATATAGCTATATATACACCTATCGTCCCGCGCGGCGTATATAATGAGGCTCTCTCTCTCTCTTACTCCGATACGGTCGCGGGCAAGTTTTAAACGAGCTTTGCGAACGAACACAACGAACAAGCGAGGCACATAGCGCAGAGAGAGTTTCGCGTGTAGAGCGAGCATCGATCAGAGCAAACACCCGCTCGTTATACCTCCATCCTCCTCCTCCTCCTCCTCCTCCTCCTCCTCTATGTATGTGTGAGTGTGTGTGTGCATGTGCAGTGTCTGCGCAGTTGTTAGTAAACGCTTCGTATATATATATACCGATAAGAGTGTATATATCTATATGTGTTATATATATGCGGTGAATGAAGCTTCGCGCGCGCCGCGACACGCCCTTTTTCGCGGGCTTTTCACTTCTTATATTATACGTATACGTACGGAGTATGTATATATAGCATAAAGCTCGAGCTCTCCTTTTCCCCACCTCGCCGCGCCTGATATAAACCCGCAATCGCCGTGATTGATGCGAGCTATATTTTATTTTTATTTTTTCTTCGCGGGCAAAATTATTTATTTCGCGATCGATTAATTCGAGGTTGTAATATCATGAAAATATGTGTGTACTTTATTTATGTTTTTAATTTTCTCAAAAACTATTGTTATTATTCAACACGGAGATGAATCATCGTAACGTACGTTGACTTGGTTTTACTTTGTTTATTAAATTCAAGTTACCTAGTTTAAAGTCGTAACGGTAACATTAGTCGTCAACGCGATTCTTCCAGAAGAGTAATATGGAGTCCATCGAGTCGTTCGATTCCGCCCCAAGGTAATTTTTAATTTGCCAATAAAAGTGAAAAAAATTTTTCCATACAAAACGTACTTCGTTCGTTGCTTCAGAATAAAAGAGTCGCCCGATGATACGCCAATCGTCGAAAATGACGGCCACTCGATCCGCGGGACACCCCATGAGTTGACACTCGAATCCGAGTGCGAAGCTGACGAGAAGCTCAACGCGAACATAACGGAACCTCTGGACCTCCGAACGAATGTTGCATCGACCGGTGCCGAGAAAGTAGAAAAGAAAGCGAATGCCAGCAGTGAACTCGGCAAGAAAAAAGATGAGAGAAGGCGGAAAGTTGATCCACGTCAACCATGTCAAGTGTGTGGAAAATTAATAAGAATGTGTAATCTCCAGAAGCACACCAATGCGCATACTACTGCTGGTGTATGTGGTTTCTGCGAACAAAAATTTGAATCTAGATATAAGCTCAAGAAGCACTTGGTTGCGGTACATAACAGTGTGCATTATACATGCGATATTTGTAATAAAAAATGTATACTAAAATCCGAGGTCAGAGCCCATATCAAGAGAAAGCACAATTTCGGTGCGAAATATGAATGCAAATTGTGTCAAAAAGTATATAAAGAACCGACCTCTCTCAGTAAACATGTGAAATCGTCGCATGAAGGTATCAGACATGAATGCCATGAATGCCAAAAGACATTCACTAGAAAACCGAATCTGACAAAACACATCAAATTGAAGCATATTAATTAACAAATAACTGTACCGAGAATGTTGTATATACAAATATACATCTAATCTCAAGACGAAAATCGACGAATATCTATCTGGTCTTTTTTTAATCGTGTCAAAACTCACGATGCTATCTATTTTATTTTCAAGACTCGTTTGAAAAAAGTCTGTAATTTATCACGATATAACGTACAATCTCAATTAACCCTTTGATAACCATACATCGCTTATAATAAATATCCTATTATAATGAATCGAACACCGTCGAATAAATAAATGCAAATTTTACATCGAACAATTCTCAACATATCCCAAATTTTTTCGACTCTTGCCGGCACACACACATACGAAATCCTTCCGAATGCTCAACCAAACTCGTACACAGCAGAAATCGGCGATAATGGGCCAAGTGCGATTGTCGTCACGTATAAATAAGTATCGCTCGGCCTTATAGATCGCAGCCTATTAGGGGTTTATCCCCCTTTTCTACACGCAACTTGTACATAGTACAATGTACGCGTACATATACAGTTGTCGCAACACAACGACGATATAACAACGACGCGACGACGACCCCTTTTTTTGCGTCGCGCCGCGTAATTAGCATTGCAATTGCGCAACTCCTGAGGATGACACGCACTGGTTGTAATACGCACGCAGTAAACGACGGCGGGTTGTTTAGAAAACTCGGCCACGTATATATATGTACATTTCGATCCCTCGGAGGAGATTATTACTGCGATTCTCGAGAGGCGAGAAATATTATTACAAAGTTTCGAACATAAATACACGGAGTTTAAGCTCGAAAATTAACCGCGCGGAAATGCACCGAGGAAGATCGCGGCAAAGTCTCACGCGCGCGTATAATATACGTCGACACCTTTTCTGAATGTGACTCGAGCTCTTTATCGGAGGGGGCCTTGTGAGCTTTAGTTAGTTACTTGTTGTTGTTGTTGTTGTTGTTCACTCGTATATATAGAAGCTTAAAATCTGAAATAGCTCGCGGTGACGCCCCCTACTTCGCGCTGCTGTATATAGGTGTGAAAACGTGAGAGAGAGAAGTAGAAGAGGAGGCGGAGGTCGATCAACCTGCGACTGAGACTCGGCGTGACTCGACTCTTTATTTCTTCCTCGAGTTACACACAGTGTATAGAGAAAGAGAGAAGAATCAAGATGAAAGACCGTCGAGAGACACTCCCATAATGCGAGCAGCTTACATAATATAACTCGAGTTCCCACACGTAATAACGAGCGCGATTATTTCATAGCTTATTGCATTCGTATATGCAGCTCGCGCAATAATAATAAACACCTCGAAAAATCGAATCTTAAAAATCGGTCCACCTTATAAAAAAAATTTCGCACTTTATAACGAAAGAAAAAAGGAGGCGCGTCTCGTTTCGTCGTCGTGAATTCCTTTGATTAAATTTATATTCATTCCTTGCGTTTAGCGCGATAACGCCCATATATACACATACACGCGCGCGTACTCGAATAGAAAATAAAAATGAAATTAAGAAAGAAATAATGAAACTCGAGTTTAATTCAATCGTCGATAGCCGCGTATTAAAAAGGCACCGCAGTGTGTCCGTGTGTGTGTGCATCGAGTCGTATTCAAATATATATTTGAAACAATCGACCGCGTTCGGTGGCACGATCCCCGCCTTTGAATCTCTTTGAGAGAAGGTGCGCGCGCGTGCAGCGGCGCAGCGATGTGTCGCCTTTTTTTTTTTTTTTTTTAACTGGCATAGAAAAGAAGGGGTCGTCAGTGTAATGGAATCGTTCACAGTCGCGGCTTGTGCAAACGCCCGTATATAATACGTATATGTTGTGTATGGTGTAAATAATAAAGAAAAACTCCTTGAATTTTTCTTTCCTTAATTTCGTGCGGAAAATACGAGGAAAAATTTTCATCGATAACGTAACTACAGCTTGTAGCATGGCGGAGTCTTCGTTTACGCACGCATATTACCGGCGTGAAACACAATGCAGGTATATATAGGATATATGTACGATAGAGAGAGAGACGAGTAAAAGAAATGGTAGTGGCAGTAGTAGTAGTAGCAGTACGATTCCATGGGGGTTCGCAGCTGCGCTGCGCGCGCCTGCACCGACCAACAGTATAACAAGAGAAAGAGAGGAAGATAGCGGCAGGGGGTTCCCCGGACTCGGCGCAGTCACAGCAGCAGCAGCAGCAGCAGCAACAGCAGCAGTAGCTTGGCGTGCCGCGCCCACCAGCGAGCTCGTTATCACTGATTTCTGCTCTCTCTCTCACTTTTTGCGGCCGCTGAAAAACAACAGCAGTTGTCGGTATACAACACATTGTACTGCTGCTGCTGCTGCTCTCCGTCACACGCTGAGTTACACGCATATGGGAAAAAAATCGGCGCAACCGAAAGAGCACGTACACGACGACGATCGCTGCGCGCGCGGCCCTTTTTGCCTTTTTCTTTATTCTTCTTTCGCTCGTGTGTGTGTTGCATATTATCCCAGCCGAGTAAAGGATTATTAACGTCGAGCGCGTCGAGTCGTCTCGCTAATTACACGACGACACTTTTACGTGAGAACATGACAAATTTCCGTCTTCGTAACGGCTGAATTTCGAAAATCGCGTAAAGTTACAACGGCATTTTTGGCAATTGTCATCACGATATTGGCTGTACGATCGGTACTATTATGGACCCGGAGCTAAACAGCCTGCGAGTGGCGTGTAAGTACGTCATTTAAGCAGTGTACGAGTGTGTGTGTGTGTCTCGAATTTCTCCGCACACCACCACCACCGCGACTATACATGTATAAAAGCAACAACGTATACGATCGGCAGGGAGTCGTCGTCGTCGTCTCGACGTCAAATGAACTACACACGCACACACACACATATAAGCTGCGACTATTGAAGTCGATTGTTTCGACCTGACTTTTATTACGCGACATAGCAACAGCAGCAGCAACAGCCTCATTATTTGGGCACGCACAATTTCATGTATAACATATATTGTTGCGAGATTGTGTGCAGCTCGGGTTACTATTATATACATTGTATGTGCGCGTTGTGTATCATAAACGCCGCGCTCGCGAGCTGCGACAATTGAATCGAAAAGTCGGAGCTGTCAGCGCGCCCGAAGGCGGCCCACATTCGATATACACGACTGTACATATATGTATATAACACTCGGCTTCTTCGTCTTACTTACTTTGTAATATATTTTACTCTCGTTAATTGGGCACACGGGTGACTGCTATATATAAATATAGCAGGATCGGCATCCCGCTTGGTCACGTCGACTTTGCATTCGATCGAGAGACAGAGAGAGAGAAAAAAAAGTAACCACATATATATAGCCACTGAGATGGCGGCCGCCGCGTTCGTTAATTCCAACTCGCTCGAATCAACTCTTTTTTAACTCTCTATGGGTACATAATGTGATCGTCACCTTTTATGCCCGATGCTTTCATATATGTACGAACGGCGCAGCGGTGGTGGCGAACAATGAGGCTATAAAAAAAAAAAAATACATACCACGCGCGCGCGCATAGCAGCACGCATATAATATATATAAACAGCGAGCCAAAACAATGCATGAGGCAAGCGGCGGATATACGTGTATACGCACGATCGAGTTTGACGACGACGAAACAAGCTGCACAGCAGCCGCAGCAGCAGTAGAAAAGCAAGTCGGCAATTACTCCCCGAGAAGCAGCAGCAGCATGAGTAGTAGCAGCACCCCCCCTAAGGATTGACCTTTTTTTTCTACTTTACTTCTCTCGCGCGTCTCACGTGTGCTCCGCTGCACTTTTATTTTACTATATGCTATAATGTATAATATTTTTGTCAATAGCGTAGCTTCCAAATGATAACGAAAAATATCTACTCTGTAATTACAAGCGACGTGTCGTGCACATACGTGAATTCTTACGTCGTCGTCACGTCGAGCTTCTCCGTATGTGCATAATATGTACGCCAACTCGACTATTTCTCTCTCTCTCTCTCTCTTTCATTTTTTTTTTTCGCTCGTGCGCACCTTGAACTCGACTCGTACAGTAGTCGTCGTCATCGTCGTCGTCGTCGTCTCTGCTGGAGCTCTCTCTCGAGTGTCTCGGGGGCAGCGACACAGCGTCAGCTTTTGCTCATTCCGCGGCCCGTCAAGGGGCTGCAATATGTACACACGCCTACCTTTACCGTTCGTTCCGTTCGTGTGTGTGTGTGTGTGTGTGTGTATGCCAAAAGTCCAGAAATGAACACAATAACTGTCGTGAATGGGACTCATGCTTTCTCTTTCTCTCTGGCTCGGCAGGGGGGTAGTTTAGTAGTAAAGTAAGTAACGTACCGTAATATACATAGCGCGGTGCTTACCTTGTGTACAAGCCTTGTTTATATGTTACACGGACGGCATGTTTGGCGCAGTTTACATTGTAATAATTGATCGTTCCCTGCCCGATTTCGACTTGTATGCATTAATTCCGTGTATATAAAACGCATTTCTCAAACGCGTATGTATAACGTCAAAGAGAATCGATGCGGACAATTAACGAAAGAAGAAGAGTAAGAAAAAAAAAGGGACTCGAGGATATACACCCACGCGATGACAAAGACGTTGAAAGGAGCACATGATATATGTATAAAAGGACACGCGTGTCGCGGCTTCGAACCGATAATATGAGCAACGGCGCCCAACTTATATTCAAGATCTTTAGACGTTGTTGTTGTTGAACGCGTAAGCGTGCCGCTGCCGCTTTTTCTTCGAGACGTTTCTGGCATAACTGCTGCATTATTGGGCGTGTGCGGCGCGTCGTCGAGACTTCCGGACTTTCGGAGTAAAAAAGAGAGAGAGAGAGAGAGATCCGAACGGGTGCAGAAGTAGCATATCGGGTTCTCTCTCTCTCTGTCTCGAGATGCGGGGCGGAAATTCGAGCGCGAGCGAGCGAGCGACGGACAAAAGGCCCCCCGAGCATATGATGCACTGATATAATAATAATAATAACGATAATATAATGTAGCTCGATTTGCAGCCGCAGAGCAGTGTTTCTAATTATAAAGTACGTGTTGTACGCGTTTGTATAAATTTGTGCAGCTCTTTTTTTTATGTCGTTGGAGCTGCGGAGCTGTACCGCTGCCTCGATTCGCGAACGTGTGTAATGCATTATTCCTATGTAAGTCTGCAACAACGACCAAGACGGTGGCAACTGTCAAAAGCACATGCCCGAGTCGCTCGCGCAGCTCTCGAGTGAAGTAAGAAACAAGAAGAAGACGACGACGACGAGGAGGAGTGACGCAAAAGCATAGGTAACAAGAAG